TTTCCTAGGATTTATCTTATTGATTAGTTAGTTCCATTCCAGAGATCCATTGGCCGCTTCAAGGGATAGCTCTTGTAACAGAACCGACCAATTATACGAAATTAAGTAAGAAAATCATCCACCAGAGCAGACGATTGAGCAAACTTAAGCCCGTATAACCCGGTAGTCCGTGAAATCACGAAGGATTTCAAACCAACTCGTGTCCCAGCCATGATCGTAATAAGTTTAGCGGTCACCAATCACATATTACATAAAAGTTTGCATAACAGATACATCAGAGTTTAAACATAGTTATTACAAAACAAGTTCGAATAAAAGTAGCGGAAGTCATTTGTTTAAAACCACACACACTCACACGGAGTTCAAATATAGTGCCGGTGATGATCATCTCCAACAAAAGCATTAGGCGAGAGGCGTAAGGAATGACCATGCCCATGGTCCTAAGCATCACCCATCGCAGGATACAGGTGGGTTGATCACAGAGCCATAGTACATCTGCCCATCTGCAACAAGTGGGAATAAAACCCTGAGTACGAGAATGTACTCAGCCAGACTTACCCGACATAACCAGAAATAAATGACACCAAGGATTATGAAGGGCTTTATAGTAGGGTAGCTGACTCATTTGCAAAAAGAAGCATTTTTAGCATTTCAAGAACCTTTCTAAAAGCATTATTGCCAAGTTAATTATTATTAACCTGTCAACTAGATCTGCACCTATACTAGAGTAAACATGTGATTAAGCAGATAATGATAATCAATGATCATTAAGCAACTTCCATACTGTCATATTCATTATAACTGTCCAAGTGTTTCATAACATTTACTACGATGAAGTAACTCAAGTCAAGTGCTCACTATCCAGGAGCGATGGCGATTCGAATCGATTCCTAACCAGCTGGTGATTTGTTCCTTACACAAACCTCACTCACCCGCTAAAGTGAGATATTGATCACCGAGTCAACTTTCCAGGAATCTCGAGTTTGCCAGGAACCACATGTACCCGGGGGCCGACCGACTGCACTTTGGCCTTATCATCCCGCCCCCGTGTCCTACCACACCTGCTTCGGTACAGTGCGCTGCGGGCAATCCACTCGGCCCGAAAAATCTCCCAGCTTCGCGGTCGGAAGATACTTTATCCGGCCAGCTAAATGTAAGGCATGCGTTCAACATGACTCGAGGCCCAACAACGGTCGGTCCTTAATCGACACAGACGGAAACACTACAGTCCAAAACTCTGCAAGTCTCCGTCCGGTCTCAACTTCATTTAACACTTAGTTATACCATGACTTCATAGTCATCCAAGCAGATCCAAGTAACCACCTATAGCTCGTAGGTGACAGGAAATCACCCGACTTCTACCGGTCTAAGCCAGCTAAGCATTGACTCGACTGCGGATACCAGGGTAACAAGGATATAGTATAACAAAGGTAAACAAGGTGTAATGCAGCAACGGTTGCAAACAACTCCTGAACGTAATGCATCAATTAAAGTAAAGCATTTAATTAAATCATTGCAAACCGGGAGAAAAATGCTCCGGGGCTTGCCTCTCTCGAAGGAGCTCGAGGCGGTGATCGGGGCACTCGGAAGTTCCTCAACGTCCTCCCCTTCGCTTCCTAAGCACTTCTGTTGCTTGCACTCGAATCGCTCCTCGGACTCCTCGGGAATGACGACTGGGTTCTCGGTTTGCGATCCCGTATGATGCAACGCGTAAGTGATTATGCAAGCGGTGCATCGAAGGAGATGGATGCAATGGATATGTTTAAATGCAAGGTAGTCAACATCATCCAAGAAACTATACTACAAGCACATGTCATCTCTCGCATTCTCTTCTATTACTAATATGTTAAGTTAACCTATCTTATGAAATGCTTCAAGGATACACCAAAGCTTTACTAATTTCTTAATCACACTTAAAGCGACACTCGCTTAAACCCTAATTAATAATAGGTTTGAATAGCAACATATATTTTTGATGCTCCTAAAATCTGAGAAAATTATAGTAGCATAATACTATCCTAAACAGACTACCATAAAAATTTCATAGCATTTGGATAAGTAAACTATCCTACACAAAAATGACAAGCTATAGCATAAAAATGAGCATGAAATTACTTTGTACTACGAAAAGTGTCAAACAACAGAATTAATATTTTTCCTAGGTTCTTCATAGCATATAATCACTGTACAAAAATTATCAGATGCATGTTTTATACAAAGTTTGCTCTCTAGCAAAAATAACAAAAATCAACCATTAAAGGCACTTGAACTACACCTCCAAAGTTTTCCACAGCACATGCATGAAACATATTTTCCTAGGAATTACATGACCTAAGAAGATTAACAAACTTGAAATCATATTTTTCTGAAACCTATAGATTTTTCTACACATTTTCAATTTATCGCCAATATACATGATTAAATAAAAGCCTATAGAAAAGTATCCCAAAAATGACATGCAATAATTTTTCCAAGTGGATCTGATGATAAGGAACCTAGCAAAATTTGTTTCAACAAATTTGGAGCAATTTGAGTACTCAAACATTTTCCAAAGTCTTTAACAAAAATCAAAAATCCTTTTTCTAATAAACAAAAATCAGTTGGAACATAAACTGCTATGCGCACCCAGATCTGCACCCAAGACTGCTACTGGGAGACAGACAAGCGGGTCCCAGCGGGTCAACCGGCCCCACTGGTCACCGGGACCCGGAGAAAGGGAGGTCGGTTGACCAAGCCACCGCTCGACGACGGCGAAGAAGTCCGTGAAGGGGTGGCACCGGCGTGCACAAAGAAGTTGTCCTGCCGCCGATGGAAGTAGAAAATGGACCCCTAGCTACAATGGCGGAGGAGGTCGCCGGCGACAATGGCGATCACGGCAATGGCCACATGAGGTACGCCGGCCAAATCCGGCCATGGCGGTTCGATCGAGCTTGGCGTGAGCATCAAGGTTACTCTGGAAACCGAGGGAAGGGAGAGGAAGGAGGAGAGGGCTCCGGTGGTGGTTGTCCACGGCGAGCACAACTCCGACGCCGGCGTGAAATGGTGCTCCCATGGAGAAGAAGAAAAACAGTGCCTACCTTGACTCTCCCGCCGGTGGCGAGATGGACGAGCTCCAGATGATGATGATGGAGTCGCGGGCTAGCCGGAGTGAGAAGCGAGGCAATGGCGAGGTTCCGGGCTCGGCGGAGCAATGTCACGGCGGTGGCTTTTCTCGGTGGCTCCAGCGCGCGAGAGAAAGAAATAGAGGGCGAGTGCGAGTGCGATGGCAGGCGGGCGCGGCCTTCAAGCGTTCCCGCGTTCGCCAGCGAGCAACGGCGTCAGGCCGGCCATGGCGCGTGGCAGCCACGCGGCGGATAGGAGCTGTCACCGGTCGGCACTGTGCCGAGTTCAAAATTTCAGTCAATCAGTTGAAACAACGAGTTGACTGACAGCGTTACTTGACAGCGCTAGATCTCCCAAATCGTGGCGAATCAGTGCAAATCGTATACATGAAAGTTGCAAAGCTATGTTAGGGCTACAATTGTTCTATAGAAATCTTAAGCTAATTCGCAAAGGACAGAGAGTAAAATCATGCCAAAGTCGTGTTCAAGAAACTGAAAACTGGAATTTATACTTAGAAATTGCTAAGTGTTGAAATCAACCCAAATTCTGACTTGTGGGACCATTTTGAGCCTGTTGTGCACATTTTCATGACTTGGTCACAAAATAACTTTTGTTCCTCATGTAATTTGCTACAACTTTGTTTTAGGTTGCTCTGACATGCAAACATTCTAAGTGGTACTTTTTAAACAGTCAAACCAAAAAGTCCTAGGGTCAAAACAAGTCAAACCATGATTGGAAATCTTAATTGGGCAAAATGATCAACATGAACATTGTTCCTAATGACTTTCTAAGCATAGCTAAGGTGTTTAAAAATATATTTAGCCATACCACACATTGGTCACGCAAGAATCAAGCACAGAACGCACTAAAACGATGAAAAACAACTGAAATGATACTTTTGTTTCAAAGTCATGTTTCCCATGTTTCAAGGCGATATTTCAATTGTTATTCACACGATTAAGCATGTATGATTTGGATGCTTGATGATGCATGAGATGCGTGATTTGCAGTGCCTAAATGCAGGCATAACACCGGGGTGTTACAGCTCTATTTCCTCTGTTTAGCAGGTTAGCACCATGTATGATTTTTTTTCGCAGGAGCTCTGATAAAATGGCTAATATACTTTATTAAAAATGCATATATACTTGCATAAAAAGCCTGCGTAAAGTAACACTAGAGTTTTAAGGACATACCACCGTCTCTACACAAATTCGAATATTTTGAAACTCAATTAAGATCCTTGCCCATATTGATTTTTCCTATTTTCCCATTTTCCCAAGTACCTGTTTGTTTTGCATTTGAACATAATGGCTAATGGCTTCATATGCATCATAGGTCCTCAGTTTTGAGCCTGGACAAATCCCAGTTGCATAGATGCTAAACTGGAATTGTTATATTTGACATAAGTAACTTAGATTGGAAGATCATCAGTAGCATCTAGCATATGTATATATGAGTTTGTTCCTGTAACAAACTCTTCTCTATTCTATGAAATGGGCACAATCTCTTGTCAATTCTATGCTTCTCTTATTTGAGATATTGACATATTGCTTCTGTATTTTCAATTTGTCCTCATTGTCTTCTATGCCTATATAATATATAGTGATCAAATTTAGGATCTTCTTTGTTGAGATTGGTTTATATGTACTTTTCTAGCTTTTGCAGGTCTATTCTTTACCTTGCAATGCAACTATTCATGTTTGAATGTCTTCTGGGATGCCTGATTACTTGGACCACATCCTCACGAGAAATAACAAGTTGTGACGGCACTTGTAGATTGTCAGTATGCACTTGTGATTCTTTTCACATTGTTCAAGTTGAAACCTTCTAGTATCATGCTAATGGTTCTAGTATTAAGCTTGCATCTTGGACATGCCTGTTTCTATCAGCACTACTCGATGAAATGGACGACAGCGGGGGAGACGGTGACCGGTGATGGCAGCCGTCTCAGGGGATCAAAGAGGCTCAAGACAACGACGCCAGCGACAGCACAAGCTCCACAGCACGGCCAACGGTGCAATCCGAAACCAACAAGAAATCAGTCTATGATGAAGGTAACCCATGTTGTTTTCTTCGCATGTAACCCCGTTTGTATGCACAGCAGGCTGGCTTCGATGCCTGCCTGATCCCGGACATCAACATCACCTGAACGTTCTGTATTCTGAATGTGTTTTTTCCTTTTTTTTTGGTTATTATATACTTTGTGCAGGCACCATGTAAGAGGAGCCAGAAGCTGGGGGACAAAATCACGGCGCTTCAGCAGCTCGTGTCTGCCGAGGCCGCGTTCCGCCACCGCAACGCGGCCTTTACGGAGGATCACTGGCGCTGCCTCAGCACTCTGTAGCGATGCTGCCATGGTTCAGTTGGTAGACGGTAGGAGTACGAGACATTAGACATGGCATCGACGGTTGCCGGCTGGTGTCATCAGGCCTTCAGTTACAGCGTTAGAACTCAATTTCACTTGGAAAAATAAAAATTACTCACACGCTTTTTGAGGTTATTATTATAGTATGCCTGATTTGAATTATATAACAAGTTGTGACGGCATTTGTAGATTGTCAGTATGCCTGATTTGAATTATATATATATATATATATATATATGTGTGTGTGTGTGTGTGTGTGTTCTGGTCGAAAATGTACTGTAGGGGCGGCTGGTGTTATCAGCCGCCCCTGCAAATCGATTTGCAGGGACGGCTACAGTACCAACCGCCCTTACAAATCGATTTGTAGAGACGACTAGTAACACCAACCGCTCCTACAAATAGATTTGTAAGGACGGTCTGGGAACCGTCCCTACAAATGCATGATTTGTAGAGACGGTATGGTAGGGGCGGCTGGCTGAGCCGCCTCTACAAACGATCTGCAGCCTTTCCTACAAAGCGTTTTTCACGTAGTGCATGAAACAAAACGGAAGAAGAAAGCCTGGCCGAACTATGGAGCAGGCACTACGAATGCTGGGTCCACCCATTGTTTCCTGTTGCCAGCTGGTACTGCTCTATTTCTTCCTTGCAAAGAAGAGCGACTTGTCTTGGCTGCAACGATTTGTTTTGAAAAATTCTTCTGTTTCGCTCCTTTCACACGTTCCACCAGAAGTAAATCATTATACCGTCAAATGTTTTCCTCCCGTCTTTGTCAATCTTGGCGCATTTGTTCACAAGATTACCGAAGCACTTCACCCACTGAACTAAAGCAATAACCCTGAATCATAGGAATGATATAAAAGGAAACCCCTGCCAGCAACTAAATCCCTGAAAAGTTTCATGCATGTCTAAATGCCCCTCTTGTTTTTGTGTCTTCAATATAAAAGCCATGAAGAGTACTGCTATTGTATAGAAAAGCAATGTAATAAAGTACATTGTTTATTGGTATACCGGTGATGCCTGCTTATAGTTAAGTTTTAGAGGTGTCTCCAGCTTGCAAGGCTGCATTATAGTTTTACTTACTACAAAAATTAGCAACTATTGCCATTTTTATTGAGTGTAAGCCTATTTTAATTAGCACGAGAATGCTATTATGTTTCTGTCTTCAGTCTGAGATAAATTGTTTTATAAATGAGAAAATAGTTCTTGCATATATTCTTGAAGACCATGACGCGGTGGCATTGTTCCAGTGAGTTCTCCCTATCCACAGATTGAAGAAGAAATCGGTGTTTTTCAACAACATTATGCATCTTTTTAAGTGTCTTCAGCATGTATTTGATGATTGATTAAAAATAACAATTTGACCACATCACCAGAAACACAAACCGGTACTACTTGTTAGAACTTATCAGATAATGAGCAAATGAATTTCTCAAGTCCATCTTAAGACACATCCAATAACAGTAACAGGTAGAAAATTGCTCATGGCTACTCTTAGTGACCTTATTTTTCCTTTATTATTAAGCTTATTTTTGATAGGCAAAGTGTCGGGTTTATAAACCCGGGGTCCCTCGGGGACCGGCTTCGACGTCCGGGCTCGGCCCAGGAGAACAGCCTGCAGCTCATGGGTCGGCCCAAAAAAGTCTAAAAAACAACGGGCCGGAGGGACAGACCGGTCGCCGACCGGAAGGTCCACCGAAAGGATGAACGCCCGCTCGACAACTTCTTCGGCCCACCTCTCCGACCGGAGCGCTCGCCTCGGGCGCCGGGCGCCTCCGGGCGGACTCTCCGACCGGAAGGCCTGGCCCAAAACGCTGCTTCCTACTCCGACTCCGCGTCTCCGACCGGAGACTCGTAGGAAGCCTGCTTACCGCTCTTCTCCGACTGGCACGGCCAGTACCGACTGGAGCCATCCGACCAGGGATTCTCGCTCAAAAGGGACCAGGGGCGAACGGAGAAAGCAGCGCACAAAGTCAAAACACGGTACCAGGACCATACCCTGTACGCATGCGGGAACAGTGCTCCACAACCGACCTGACACAAACAGTATGGGAGGTACCGACATTTGTGACTATATTATTGTAGGCGCCGCCATTTATGTCTATAGTATTATAGGCGCCGTTGGGGCTCCCATACGGCAAAAAGGCCCCCCACATACCTCTGGGCATCGATAGTGGGCACCAGGATTCACCATGCCTGGTACACATGATGGGGCTCCTCACATGCTAACTGCATTTCGCAGGTACCGACGTCCACCCTTCCTGAAGAAGCCAAACGCAACCCCCCATGTGCACCTAACATTCCACAGCGACATCAACAGTGTTATGCGTGCCAACCATCATCACTACCCTCATTCGGCGTGGGCAACAAGACTTAGAAACATCCGTACTCTCTCCTTCTCACCTGTAAAGCCACCCCCTTTATCTATAAAGGGGATGCGCTCCCTCCAACAAAGGAGATCGATTTTCCAGAGGTCCACTTCTTCAAGCTCAGGCTCACTAGATCGATAGCTCAGAAACCCCTCAAGCACACGCTTGAACACCTAGCTCATAGCAAAGTTTCGGTCGCCCTCGGCCCTTCCGGTCGGACCCGACCGGGCCTCTCGTACACCCCTCATTTCTCCTTCTCGTTTGTAACCCCACTACAGACTTCGAGCACCTAGGCTCAGGAATAAAGTCACCAACAGACCCACACTGGACGTAGGGCACGTTGCTCGAACCAGTCTAAATCATGTGTCATTGAGTGCTAGGTCACCTCCGATCACGACGTACAGCAAAACTACAAATATTCACTAGTTGGTCACTTTCTGTATCGACAGTTGGTGCCGTCCGTGGGTAAGACGCTGTACGTTCAACGCTTTTTGGTCATCGGATGGCCCATTTTTCCGCCACCCCCACCGCGGGGGGCTCGGGCGACGCGATTCGCCTCGGCTCACTGGAGTATCCCGCACTCTCGCCTGTGGGCATGCGGGTTCCACTCGTATTTGAGCCATCCCAGGCCTTCCTCTTCGGAAGCCTGGACTTCGTCGCCGACCGGCTCGGCGTACTCCACCTCCGCGAGGAAACTCGTGACCCGACACCCATCGGAGTGACGTTCTTCGTCGACTCAGGGACGCGTGACCTCAACGGTGCGGCATCCGCGCTTCATTCCGAGCAAACTCTCTGCTCAAACCCCGCTGTAAGTAATATACATGCCATCCTTTACTTACTACATTCAATCTTTCGCCAAATACCCGGAGGGCTGCCGTTGTTCCCGTCACGGTCACCATACGGCCGGCTCCCCTACGGCCTCGTGTCTCCCGCGGACACGTACGCCCGGGGGCTCCAAAAGATTATGGCGCTGTCTCCTCTCACGTCTGAGTTCGTGGGGATGGCGAGCTATGGTCCCTCCTATTTCCTCAACATCATGGACTATGACGTCGGGAGTGATGGCTCCAGCATCGGCGACGTGGCACCCAGCCACCGTCTGTCCCGGGAGTGCGCTATGACGGACACTCGGGACAGCTGCCAGGGGCAACGGAGTCCTCACGGACTCACGCCCCGCCGGGCCCTCACACGGAGACCTCCGAGCTCACACGTGAGCACAAGGAGGAAGTACGATGACAGTGGCCGCATCAGCCACCAACTGTGTCGGCGCGTTCGGCGCGCTACACTGCGCCCCGCACGTGTGGACCGGCGAGCGGCGCTCGGGGTCGCGCCCGATAGATCCAGCACAACACCCCGGATAGGGGGACCGATCCCCCGCAGTTCGCTCGGGCCAGTCAGAACATTGCCGCCGTGGCAATGCTCCCACACGGCCTGTCCGAGCCGAACGACCCTCACGAACGGGCGATCCACCGGAACCTCCGGGCACTGGTGGAGACCGCCGCAGTTCAGCAAGCGGAATGCTCCGTGTCACGACGCTGACTCACGACCTCGCTTCTCGTCCCGAGAGCAGGGATGCAGCAGATGGGGCACTACACCCTGTCACCACAACAACTGCTGAGCGCGACACATGAGGCCGCAACGGCGCCTCATCCTGACCTGACGACCGCTCCACGTCAACCGCCTATCTATGCGTGGCTCGGACCGAACCAAGGCACATGCAGCGGCGACCGGAGTCCCAGCACTGACGGCCCGGGACCACCGAGCTTTGCCCACATCCCCTAGCAAGCGTCGTTCTTATCGTGCTCCAACGGAGGCCACGACAAAGGCAAGGCCAAGCGCTAGGATCAAGACGAGGGCCCCTCCCTTCAGAGGGAAAAAAGAACAGAAAGGATCGCCGCCGACCGGCTAACTCCGCGTCGGTCGCCACGGCCGACCACCTAGGCACGTAGCCTCAGCAGGACCGATCGGGACACTTCCACGAGCTCATGGAGAGCCCGTGCACCAACCACAACTATCTCGTCAACCATCCCTACAAGGACTGCCAACTCCTCAAGCGCCTGCTGAGGTAGACTGGCAGGCCGAGGGACGAAAAAGGCAACAGAAGAAGGGGGCACATCAGGCGAGGATTCAGACGACTGAAGGCTGAATTGATCCTACTGGACGCCTACCGACTGAAAGACAACAACGACGACGTTCTCTCCCAACGCTTGGAACAGCTATGTTGTTTTTCCCTTTCCCTAAGTTTCAATCTCACCGTTATTCACTAAACGTACGCTCCTGAAAGAGCACCCCGACCCAAACACTTTTCGGCTCGGGGCGCTCGGGGGCTCTGCTACCCCTTTGTTTTGTTTTTACCTTGAGTACTCTTTTTCATATGGGGAAAACTCCTTCCTACCCGAACAGAAGGGCAGTTCGTCCTTTTGACTTGCCTTACGTAACTTTGCTTTAAAACATTCCGACTGAACGCACCCCACCTTTTCCTATGGTTATGATCGACCGAGCCTCGCGGGCCATGCCTCGGGCTAACAGCATCACAGCCTATGGGACAAATAGGCAGGTACGAGAAAGAAAGAAATATAAAACAGAATTATGCTATGGGAAAATTAAGGAACGGAA